GATACGGAATAGATTTGGATAGCTCCCTTTTCTTGGCGGGAGTAGACCAGGTTTCTCCTTTCTTGGCGAGAATGGCCAGGGTTTCTATTTTTCTGAAATTCGTTCCCCTCTTTCATTCCATTCGTAGGTATAAATACAAATGAACAATAACTAATTCCCTAACAAACAGCCACTACTACTGCTACACCTATCTACACGTTCCACTTATGGTGGAAGTGATTAATTCCTAACAACCTTTAACCCTACTATAACAAAGACTCCACAACTGACTCAACAAACATAATATGAATCCTGATATGCTGCAATTCACTAATTACGGATCAAGTGCACATTGGGCTGGTGGCTCGGCTGGACGGCGAGGCCCACTGAATTGTGGCCCATCATAGCTATTGAACACTGACGGGTTCTTTGGTTGTGTAGTATTGGTTGCTTCATGCTCACTACTGATTCCGTTGGCAGTAGATTGGGATGACGAACTTCCATTGTGAAGTGTAGAAAGAGGCTGCTGCAAATTCGAAAGACTAATTAACATGAATATATAATATATTATTCAATCAATTTCAACAAAAAGCAAACAGAAATGAGTTATCCAACTATCAATTTCATGGCTGCTGCAAATTAGTTTTTGCTAACTTCATGGGTGGATCTAATTAGTTGACATACAGATCTTCAAAAAGAGCTGCAAGTGAAGCTGCAAGTTTAAACCCTTTCACGGGTGAGACTTAAAGCTTTGAGAATTATTATTTAATCATTATTAGCATATTCATCATTGGCGAAATAGGATAATCATGAGGATATATATAATCACTATTATCAACTTATAGTACTCAAAGGAAAGACTTGGATCCCAGTTAATTATATTATTGAATAACTATACTCATGTTGACAATTAGGGAAATAGATCCATCCATCAAGTTTTTTATAGGTAAAGGGATTTGGTGGTTTGCATTCCATGTAAAACAACAACTATTCCAATTAGAGTTCAGTGATTCAGTTAATTGTCAAAAGACTGAATTAACCAACAACATAAAGTAACGGTTCAGTTAAGCTTAGTGACTAACCTGAACCTGGGCAGTAGCAGTAGATTCAATGCTTGCCTTGTTCTATTGAAGGTTCATCAATTTATAGCATGCTAAATTCATGCGACGAAATCTTGATATTGAATTCGGTTAGCATTATCTGGAATTGTAACTGTAGATGTTGTATTTTGAGAAGAGCAGCAGGTACAACAGTGGGGGTCCTTTTACTCATCGGCAAATAGTGTCTGAGCTAAGATTCCAAAAAAACATCTTCATTTCCTTGTCCATGAGAACAGATTGGGCCTCACCAGAGACTGTAGGTTGTATTCTAAATCTGTTGAAAGAATAAACAAAACATGTTGGTTAGATTCCAAGTGATAGATGGAGGAAATAGTAAATTGTAATTGTGTAGGTAGTACTCGGCCTTTTTAACAGAGTGGTTCATTGTTAATCAACACTTCTTATTGACCAACCATTAACTTCTGGTGGTTTTCTTATGCTCTTCGGCAACATGGGGTCTGTTACTACATAAAAGTCTATTTCCACTTTCCCTTCATGTGTGAACTTAACCGCATTGCTACAAAGCAATCAGTAAAAGAAATCAGGATATAGATCAACAATTTTCTTGCAGAAGAAGTTTCAAGCCAAAAGAATACATGATAAGGTTGGTGAGTATCCGTCTAATCCTTCGAACATCTCCAGTGACCTCCAAAATTCCAAGTAGAAAATATGGCTCTTAGCATGTTAGTTCTTGACAACTAATAATTTTCTCATTTGGAGTTATGAACACAGTAATTCATATCTCACCTTGGTTGGAACATCATCTGCTATGCGTCCTTTCAGGGTTAGAACTTTCTGCAACGAAGTAGCAGCAGTCTGCAAGACATGTTTGACCACTTCTATTGGCCAAAATTTGGTAGCTTCCAACTTTAGGCGTTAGATACATTAGATTCTTCTGTAGTTGTGCTTGGTCTCTGCCTAGTTTCATGACAAATAAGATATCAAGTAAATCATGAGCACCCAACACCAACTGGTCATGCAAAGACAATATATCACACTAACATAAGAAATTTGGATCACTAAACACCATTTGTTTACTGTAAGAACTTGTTCTCCAAGCAAAAGCAATAAAATCCAGCTAATGAAAGCAATGAAAAAGAAAATAAAAAATCTAAAAAACAACAAACCTGTATGAAGCCTTCTGCAAGGGCACTGAAGACAAAACAACCATGATTGTAAGCAAGGCCTTGTGTAGTTCCAAATCTTTTGTCTGGCGGAGAGGTGGCTTCTCCCAACAGTAAACATTGGAAAAAATGCAAATAAACATTTTGTGGTCCAGCTTGGTCTCTAAAACCTCTTTAAAAGAATAAAATACGAAGGAAGCAAAAAATTAAAAGGAAAAGGCAGACATGCTTTCCATGTACAAAACCTCTTGTAGTCGTATAATTTGACAGTGAAATCCTTACTGTGTCTTCCTAGAAAAAGCAATCACCGGGGGTTTCTGTGACCATAAACGAAACTCTGTTAGAGAGCATAATGTAATCTTGCTAAAGTAAATCAATGTTCCACAAACCAGTCCTAAGAATAGAAGACCAACATTAATGTTCAGTAGAAGCAAAAGACAAAAAAGGCCAGTCTCTTAGTGATAACGATTTAGATCAAATTATTAACAAAAGGCTCAGGCGAGAGGTACTTGTAGAGAATTGGACAGATAGAGGTCTTCCATCTTTTGTATGAAGTATGAACATCACCTTTTTGGCACCAAGTTGTCTGCAAATTTCAGAGTCGCCCTCATTTGAATGATTCGTATGTTTCTGATGCAGAATAGAAAGCCAGTAAGCGGGTTTTGTCATCAGGAAGAGGCAGAATAACAAAGAAGGACATTACAACTATTTATAGGATAATAGGATGGATTTCAGGCCACCACCAGCGAATCAATACCTACAGCAAATGACTTCAAATGTAACAAAAGGAGAAAACTTCAGCAACCTGAAACAACAAATTGCTGCTTCCTCTTTCGTCCCGACCTGAAGATTGACTGCTGGCCACCGCCGCTGCTTCCTTTTCCGTCAAGATTGCGCTCTCCTCGACAGCCTGAATCACCCCCTCGGAAATCCAAAGCAAAACAAAACATCAAAATCAGGAATATAATTAAGAATGTGTGTTTCCCCTTTTACTTCAGGTGTAACAGGCAAATCATCCATGTATCTAGTTCACCCAAGGCCGTGTTATGATGGATAGATGGAATTGGCACAGAATTACCTTGTGAGCAACTCCATCCTTGAATTTGGCATGGTGATGAATCCCCTACTGTCGATTTTGCTGTCTAGACAACTTCTTCACCTCTCATTCAAGCTCCACTACTTAGCTCTATTGGTGCATGGCTTCCATCTGTACATTAAGGGAGGCAGCTAAGCTAACAAACACAATGACAATTATTTTGCAGAGGTGACATAAGTTAAAGCACTGAAATGTACTAATTAACCAAGGAAACCAGCCATGGCATATCTGAAATACATCTACATCCACATCAGAACTACATCATCAATTCAGAAGTATGCTTCGCCACATTATAAAGCTCATGAATGATGAATGTCAATAGAAGAAAAAATTGGCCATTGACTTAACATATCTAAAATTGATCACTTTCAATGCATATACACAGTATATTGGGCAATGGTTCAAATCCTTGTTCTCCCTACACTAAGCCACCAATTCACAACGACACTCTGCCCCCATTATCAGGCTCCCCAATACAAAGCAATAGTAGTATTCAAAGGCTACCGAGATTTAGAAAATTAGAAAATGCAACTGAAATAAGAAAATAAAATGTAACAACCGAAGTGTTTGAATATGAGTCATGGATACTATCCTAAGGGCTTCTAGAGTTCATATGCTTAGGGCATTCTATTTACTTGTGGTAGAAACTAATTTATACGAAGGAAGCAACAGCACATACTGATGAAGTTGACGTTTATGGAATCAAAACAACCTACTTACAATATTGGTGCCTCGAATGAGTCCTCCTCCTGTAACAGAACCAGCTCCACCTCTACAAAATGAATCCTCAAACGGCTTGGATTCTGCAATTGTTGCTGATGCTGCTGCCATAGCCTGATTCTGATTCGGATTCATTTTGGAGTCGATCACAAACCACATACAAACATAGTTGGAAGCGAATTGGAAGAGAACGAATTAACCCATTCCTATGACGGATTGATGCAAATGTATAGCTTTTTTCTTTCCGACTACAGATCTCTCCACTCCAATTCTTAAATTAGCCACTGAGCTGCAAACTCAGGGTTTATTTAGTTCGCTTACCTTCAAAACTGCCGTTCAATGAATCGGCACCATGTTTTGAGTGAGCGCTGCTGGGATAATGAATGATTTTGGCAGTGAAGACGGAGGACGGAGAGAGGAGGAGGCTTGGATTGACACCGGCGGAGGACGGAGAGAGGGATGCTCGGATTGACTGGGAGAAAAAATCATCGGGGCTGTTGGCGGTGAAGACGGAGGACGGAGAGAGGAGGAGGCTCAGATTGACACCGGCGGAAGATGGAGAGAGGGAGGCTCGGATTGACTGGGAGAAAAAATCAGCAGGCCCGTTGGCGGTGAAGACGGAGGAAGGAGAGAGGAGGAGGCTCGGATTGACACCGGTGGAAGACGGAGAGAGGGAGGCTCGAATTGACTGGGAGAAAAAATCAGCAGGCCCGTAGGACGTCGCAATAGGAGCCGAGTGTTAAGGATAATACTTTAGTTTAGTTAATTATGTATTTAATTATTTTACTTAGTGGTTAGGTGCTTCCTACATTACAGGCTACGTGAGTTTAGTGGTGGCTTTTCTGTTGTACAATGGGTATTTAATCCCCACTCAACTTCTAATAAACATCAGGCATTCAACCATTCACATGGTATCAGAGCTAAAACTCAGATCTCCTTAATCATTAAAAACTCTTCCCTCTTTCCTTTCCTCCCATCACAATGTCTCAAAATTTTTGTGAATCAGTGCTCAACGTCAACGACACCAACACCATCATCACCCTTAATCCTGCATCTCAGTTACCCACCAAGCTAACTGGTGATAATTTTCCTACATGGAGGGCACAGCTCTTTACTCTTCTTCGAGGCCTTGATCTCCTCAAATTTCTTGACGGCTCTCATCCTGCTCCCGCAGCCACTGCCGAGGCTTCTGTTCGCACCCTCTGGTTTCGCCAGGATCAACTTCTCCTTCATGCTATTCATGCCTCTATATCTCCTTCTGTTGCGCCCTATGTATCGGCTGCTACCTCCTCTCAAGAAGCTTGGACGACATTGGAGCGCCGATTTGCAAGCCAATCCCGCCAGCGTGTTATTCACCTCAAACAGAAGCTTGGCCGAGAAACTCTTGGCAATCGTCCGGTGGCTGTCTATCTACAGGTCATGAGCACCACAGCGGCTGAACTCGATCTTATCAATGCCCCGGTGTCCAATGAAGACCTGATTTTGTATGTTCTGCGCGGTCTCCCTGAAGCTTATGATCATCTCTTGGCTGCTATTCGGGCACGTGATACGCCCATCCGCTTCGAAGATTTACACGATCGTCTTGTTGATTTCGAAACTGATCTGGCTTCGGTGCGCCTCAGTCCGCAATCAACTCCGACCACCGCCTTCTCCTCTGCTCGCGGCTACCCTGGGTCTTTTGGTTCTTTCTCACGTGGGCAGCCTGGCCACCGCTGGTTACTCTCATGCCCGTCGCAACTCTACGGTTTTGGTCTCATGCCTTCCAAACTGCAACTTATCTTATTAATCGCCTTTCGTCTTCCTCTCTTCATGGCGCCACACCATACTTTTCTCTCTTTAATGAATCGCCTAATTATAATAAGTTGCATGTTTTTGGTTGTGCTTGTTACCCATGGCTACGTCCGTATACCCCTCACAAATTAGCTCCTCGTTCACGCCAATGTGTGTTTCTTGGCTACTCTCTCACCCAAAGTGCCTATTATTGTTATGATCCTCTTGCCAAACGTCTGTTTACCTCTCGTCATGTCCTGTTTGATGAAATGATCTTCCCAGGAGATTTGTCTTCCTCTGCGGCTTCCTTTGATCCGCCACATTGGATTGCTGCCACTACTCCTCCACTCACTGTTCTCCGCTTGCCCACACCTGCTCCACCCTTGTCGTCTCATTCTTCCCCACCCTAGGCTCCTGGATTGCTCCCTTCGCCGTCTCAAGCTGCGTCCCCCAGGCCTTTGTCCTCACAACATCATCAGTCACCACCGCCTCCACCGGCCAAGTCTTTCACCCGCCCGGTGACAAGGATTCAACATGGTATATTTCGGCCGAAACGGCTGTTTCTTTCTCAGGTGGATACTGTGGATATTGAGCCCACCCTGCTTCAACAGGCGCTTGCTGATCCGCGGTGGCATGCGGCCATGACGGCTGAATTTCGGGCTCTTTTATCAAACAACACATGGACTCTAGTGCCCCGCCCCGCCGACACTAATATTGTGGGCTCCCGTTGGGTTTTTCGTATCAAACGGAATCCTGATGGTTCTGTGGATCGTTTTAAGGCCCGGTTGGTGGCCAAGGGCTTCACCCAGCGTCCTGGCGTTGATTTTCATGAGACCTACAGTCCGGTACTCAAACCGGTCACTATCCGAACTGTCTTCACGATCGCGCTCTCTCATCAGTGGCCTATTATGCAATTTGACGTTAACAATGCTTTTCTACAGGGTTCTCTGCAGGAAACAGTTTATATGGCTCAACCGCCCGGCTTCATTGATCCGACTTATCCTAATCATGTCTGCCGCCTTTCCCGTGCGATCTATGGACTTCATCAAGCTCCTCGATCCTGGTACTTGGCATTATCTGGCTTTTTTGCTACCGAGGGCTTCGTCAAATCAAAATATGATGCCTCTTTGTTCAATTTATCATCATGGGGGCGTCACTCTATATTTCTTGGTCTACGTCGATGACCTTCTTCTCACGGGGAATGACAGTCGGGCCCTCGCACAATTTCAATCTCGCCTTGCCACCCAGTTCTCTCTTACGAGTCTTGGTCCTGTCCATTACTTTTTGGGTATCGAGGTACTCCCAACGGAATCCGGCTATTTGCTCTCTCAGCAGAAATATATCCGTGATCTACTTCATCGTTTTGGGATGGCTGACTCTCACCCGGTGCCGACCCCACTCGTCTCCACTGCCAAACTCTCCCTGGTTGATGGTTCTCCACCAGCTGATCCTACTCTTTATAAACAGGCACTTGGCTCTCTTCAATATTTACTATGCACTCGTCCGGACATTGCGTCTGCAGTCAACAAGTTATCTCAATTTATGCATGCACCCACTACTCTTCACTGGCAGCATGTGAAGCATCTTCTGCGATATCTCAATGGTACTTCATCACTTGGTCTTCGCCTTGCACCGTCTGTCTCCACTGATCTTGTTTCCTTTGTTGATTCTGATTGGGCTGGCGATCCCAATGATCGCACCTCTACCATGGCTTTCCTTGTTTATTATGGTGGCAATCTGATTTCTTGGAAGTCCAAGAAACAACGATCTGTTGCCCGCTCTAGTACATAGGCTGAATATCGGGCCTTAGCTCATGCTGCTTCGGAGATTCTATGGGTTCAGAATCTTCTTCGTGAGCTTCATCATCCTCCCCAAGCTCCGCCGCTTCTCTGTTGTGACAATCTTGGTGCCGTGAACTTTGCTGGTAATCCCATTCATCACTCTCGCATGAAGCATTTGGCTCTCGACTATCTTTTTGTTCGTGACCTGGTTCAGGCATCTGCTCTTCATGTTCGCCATATTCCTACTGCTCATCAATTGGTCGACTCTCTTACCAAACCACTGCCCATTACTCGGTTCCAGCTTCTTCGGTCCAAGATCGGTGTTGTACCCATCACCGTCTTGCGGGGGCGTGTTAAGGATAATAATTTAGTTTAGTTAATTATGTATTTAATTATTTTACTTAGTGGTTAGGTGCTTCCTACATTACAGGCTACGTGAGTTTAGTGGTGGCTTTTCTGTTGTACAATGGGTATTTAATCCCCACTCAACTTCTAATAAACATCAGGCATTCAACCATTCACACCGAGTCAATTTTTTCCGTTTCCGAAACTACCCCTCCGAGAAACGCTCTGGAGGCAGCAAATTTGAAATGGGGAAGTTGTTTTCCCCTTCAGCGTATTATAAGTAGAGTAGACTACTTCCAGGCTTCAGCAGCGTTTCATCTTCTTATCGAAGTTTGGCTATTAAAAATCTCCAATTTGTCTCAATTACTGCAAAAAAACATGGTTTAAGAACCTATCGTAGTGGCCAGTAAAACTCGAAATACCGAATACCAACTCCAAAACGGTAAGCAGATTTATTGGTACAAAATAGTTAAATCATGATTCAACCACGATTTTAACACCAAATATCTTACCATTAATTTTTCCGGGTTTTCAATTCATTATCACCATCATAAAAAAATTATGAAGCTTTGCTTCTTAATTCAATATTATTATCTTAATTCCATAATATGCACAAATAATGAAGGTTATAATAAAGAGCACAACAATTGTATGTACAGTGCATATATGCATCATTTTAGTGTAGTTTACATTTTGTCTATTTTCATTATTTTCTAGTAATATTTATCTTTTGCTATTATTTTCTTTCTTTTTGTTTTTCATCATGTCATTCAGCAATGGAATTTAATTATATTGGGTTTCTCCCTCTTTCGTGGCTACTCTCTCCCAGATATTCTGTCTCTTTTCTCCCCATTTGTTCACAACTAATCCCTCCCCATTATTTTAGCAACTAAATCCTTTTTTTAGTCCAAGTACAAATACGTTAATACCTATTCGAATTATACGGGATGAAGAGCACTGGCTGATGTGGCAGAAATCTTTTGTTGACATTCCCTTATATTTATTTGTAGATAACATCGTTAGTGATTCCGTGAGTAACGTGAGTGTTATGCTGATGTGGATGCCACATCAGCCTCCATATCAACTCTTCATCACCACGTCATAATTAAAATTAAAATAATAAGAAAATCATAAATTAGGGTTCCAACCCAAATTTCCCAGATTTACTTCTCTGATGTCTATGTTATTAATCAGTTTCTTTTTACTTTCGAGTTTAAGGAATGTGAAGCATCTTCTTGACTCAGCTTCCTTCTTGCATCGTCCTTCCAGTGAAATCAGTTTCTTTGTCCATCATTTTGATCGAGTTCTTCAACAATCAATTTCCTTTGCTCTGAAACCCGATATCCCCTTCTTCGACTATCTCTGAGTCTTCCTCAGAAACCCGATATCCCCCAAACTCGACCACCACCATTACTCCTCCCACTCCCCCGCCTCGCTTCACCTTGGGTCGTCTCGCCTCCCAATCAATTCCAATCTGACCCACCTCTGAGTGCTCGAGACTTCCCTGATTCGATTGAAAACATGAAACGAAAACCACAAGCCAAAGAAGAGTCGTTGTGTCAATCAACCACGGAAATCATGTTAACAGAAGAAGACATAGGATTTACGTGGTTTCCTTGTTCGGTGTGAACAGGACTACTCCACGGAGAGCAACCAGCTCTCAGTCAATCTATTATCTTCTGTAGAATCCTTACCCTATTACACAGCCAAACAAAACATATATATATATATATATATATATATATATATATATATATATATATATATATATATATAGGGTTCGGCTAACCCTAACTCTAACTCTACTATACTAAAATATTGTATGTACAATAATAACCACATAGGACACGTACATACATTAATACCCTCCCCCAAATTGATGGGCGGTGCGCACCATCAATTTGCCAGAGAGAAACCAATGACGAGAAGAAGAGACTGCCTTTGTCAAGATATCCGCGATTTGATATTCCGAAGATATATAGTAGAGTTTGAGACACCCGTCAGCAACAAGTTCCGAGATTCACGCACATGAACCTCGATGTGCCTTGTTCGGTCGTGAAGAACAGGGTTATTAGCTATCTGGATAGCACTGGTGTTATCACCGAAGAGCCGCATAGAAAGAGAGATAGAAAACTCAATCTCTTCAAATAACCGACGAAGCCACACTAACTCGGAACTGACTTCAGACATAGAGCGATACTCAGCTTTAGTTGAAGACTTCGATACCTTGTCCTGCTTCCGACAACGCCACGAGAGAAAGGCACCCCCAAGGCGCACACACCAGCCCGACGTGGAGCGGCGGGTATCAACACAACCCACATAATCAGCATCAGCATAAGCCTCCAAGACGGGATCGCCGCACGAGGGGAGAAAGAGACCTACATTCCGCGTGGACTGAAGATAACGTAAGATACGATGAACAACATGAAGGTGAGTCGTACGAGGAGCAGACATAAACTAACTCACAATCTGGATAGCATAGGAAAAATCGGGCCGAGTGTGTAGGAGATACATGAGACTGCCAACAATCTGCCGACAAATAGTACCATTAGGGAATAGTGCGTTGAATGAACAAGGAAGGATCACTGGTACTCTAAACAAAACCAGCCTGGCGAACCGTCGAATGGAATTTCTCAAACCAAGCACGGGGTGCCTATTTGAGACCGTACAAGGAACGGCGGAGGAGACACAACATAGAAGAATCGCCCTTGAGATAGCAAGGGGGACGCTCCATATACACAGTTTCCTTCAACGAGAGCCAAGAACAGGAACAGGAGGAGGCGGACAAGGGATCAAGTCCCAGGTACCCCGTTCTTCAAGTGCACCAACCTCCGTTTGCATAGTCGCATTCCATTGAGGATCATCCTTCGCCTGGTGATAGTGTTTAGCGATGAAAAGAGGAGCAACATCAAAAGTAACATAATTTTCGGCCAAATAGGGAGGCGGCTGTCCCTGAGTTGTACGAGACGAACAACGAAGGGAAACAGGCGGCGGACTGCCCAGCGGGCTACCCGACGGGGACGGAGG